TTGATTAGCTCTAGTAATTTTCTGGTAGAGTCTTTAGGGTTTTCTATGTAGAGGATCATGTCATCTGCAAACAGAGAGAGTTTCACTTCTTCTTTTCCTATCTGGATTCCTTTTACTTCTTTTTCTGCTCTGATTGCTGTGGCCAACACTTCCAAAACTATGTTGAACAGTAGTGGTGAGAGTGGGCACCCTTTTCTTGTTCCTGATTTCAGGGGAAATGCTTTCAATTTTTTCACCATTGAGGGTAATGCTTGCTGTGGGTTTGTCATATATAGCTTAAAAAGCAATATATTTTTGTAACTAAAAAAAAAGTTTGGTAATACAAATTTCAAAAATTTAAAGTCCTACAAAATTGCTGTGGGTGAGGCCAGGTGATAGCTCAGCTTTCTCACCTGGAAGGTCTTAGAAGGGTAGAAGGCCAGGGTGGGTGGGAGGATTTTTCATTATTCTCTAAAGGAAATATGGGTTGCATTTGCTGTTGCCATTGATGAAATAACAAGGACTGACCCAACCTGACCGCCTCAGTACCAGGTATTGTCCAGGTCTTCTGTCTCCTGTCTGGATCCTTGGCAGCTGGGCTTTGGATACAGAGTCTGTTGAAATGGATTCTTAGGATAAAGAGGATGCTGTGGTGGGGAGGAGGCAGGAATAGTGGTGGGAGCAAGTCACTGCAGTCAGAGACCCTCCAGATGGCTGGGGGCTTCTGAGACCCGGAACAGTTAGCACCTGCCTTGCTCTCCCCTCTTCCTCATCTCCAGACACCTCCTAAGGGGTCTCAGCACTGTCAAATCCCTGGTAACTACCGGTAGCTGGGGGCGGCAGAGGGGCGCGGTGGGACCGAGGATGACGCTGCCCCTGCCTAGGACTCAGGAAGGGAGGAAACTTCAGCTTCATCTCTCCTCTGAGACAGCACTGACTGGGTGACATCATGGGAACGAGGCAGCTGAGACCTGGATCCAGATTCCGCCCCTGACCCTGGCACGCTGAACCGCCCTGGGCTTACCCCGAAAGCCGGAGTGTGGAGGCATGGGAGGTGGGGGAAGGGAGGAGGGGTGGGTATGAGGATTAAAGAAGATGATGTACATACGGTACCCGGAGAAAACTCACCTGTGTGCTATGTAAGTCCCTGTTACTCATAATGTTGGCCCATCAGCAAAGATCACTTGAGCTTCTGCTTCCTAATGGTTTCACTGGGGATGGCTAGCTCAATATCTCTCAGCTGGCTGGAGGGACAGAATGATAGATGGATGAAAGGATGAATGGATGTACAAATGAATGGACAGAGAGACAAATGGTTGGATGGATGGTTGGAAGGATGGATGGATATATACATGGATGGATGGATGGATGGATGGACAAATGGATGGGTAGATGCATGGATGAATCAAGCCTCCAAAGGATGATGGCTAGCAGACTGCATCTTCCTCTGTGTCCTAATCTCTGCATTCCAGAAAGGCATGTTGAATTGAATATGAAATTCCAGGGGCAAAAGCAAAGAGGCAGTAAAGGCAGACAGGGAACAGACGGCACCAAACCAGAAGAACTACGATGCGCTAGGTTTTAGGAACCTAACCCTCATCTTCAGTCTTGTTCACTTTCACACTCTGGATGCCAGTTTCCAATCTTATTTTCTTCTCTCCACAGACTGACCCTGACGCCCAGCCACTCTTCACCTCGTCAGGATGAGAATGTCAGGTAAGGCCAGGCTCTGAGGACTCCAGGGTTCAAGGTTGAGGTCTGAATCAGGTTTGGGAATCGCTTTTCTGTCAGCAGTGTCTGCCCATCCTGGACTCACAGCCCACTTGGCTTCATCTGTTCTCAGCCGGTCAGGCCAGAATTCCAGGGAAAAACCAACCCAGGGAGGGCCTGGAAGAGTGTAAAGAGGGGACTTCCTGCCTCTAGGCTAAGGGTTGCAGAAACTGGCCCAGCTGGCTGGGAACATGGAGACTCACCCGCTCTGGGAAACACTTCACCCTGGCTGGAAATTACAGACAAAACATTTGTAAATGTCTGTACAGACAAAACATTTGTAGAGGGCTATTCTAGAATCCTGAAACCACAGGGCTGAGCACCAGGAGAGGCCTTTGCTCCAAGCTTCCATCCTCAGACTGTACCCTCTGTGTAGAGATAGGGGAACTGAGGCACCAAACAGGAAACCGACACAATTCATTTGTATTTTCAAACACCAGTGAGGAAGTTCACAGCACAACTTTTATTTATTTTTACTGAAGGGTGTGTTAGTCACTCAGTTGTGTCCATGGACTGTAGCCTGCCAGGCTCCTCGTCCTTGGGATTTTCCAGGCAAGAATGCTGGAATGGGTTGCTATTCCCTTCTCCAGGGGATCTTCCCAACCCAGGGATTGAACCCCAGTCTCCTGTATTGCTGGCAGATTCTTTACCATCTAAGCCACCAGGGAAGCCCTGTTAAAGTATAGTTGATTTACAATATTGTGTTAATTTCTGTTGTACAGCATAGTGATTCAGTTATACACATATATACACGCATTATTTTCTATATTCATTTCCATTATGGTTTATTAAAGGACATTGAATATAGGTCCCTGAAGAGCATGGGTGTTCATTGGAAGGACTGATGCTGAAGCTGAAACTCCAATACTTTGGCCAACTGATGTGAAGAGTTGACTCACTGGAAAAGACCCTGATGCTGGGAGGGATTGGGGGCAGGAGGAGAAGGGGACGACAGAGGATGAGATGGCTGGATGGCATCACCGACTCGATGGGCATGAGTTTGAGTAAACTCCGGGAGTTGGTGATGGACAGGGAGGCCTGGCATGCTGCGATTCATGGGGTCGCAGAGTCAGACACGACTGAGCGACTGAACTGAACTGAACTGAACTGAAGAGCACGGGTGTTATAGGCAGGTTCAGGTCCCACCTCCTGTCACTCACTAGCCAGTGACCAGGTCTGTGAGGTGCAGTTTCCTTATCTGACATCGGGGATAACCAGTAGCTACGACAGAGGGAACTGAGATAACATGTCTCAATGCCGCTTGCCTAGTACCTGACACAAAAGGAGTGCCGACTGATGCGCGCTGAGGCCCTGTAAGATGAGGGACCCCGCAGACCTGAGCCCACCCCATGGGATCCAGAGGGCCTTCTCCTCGCCCCAAGTAGCTTGAGACCAGCACGAAGCCACAGCTGAATTCAGGGCTGAGGAGCAAGGGTGGTGCAGACGGAGAGGTCAGACGAGATCCGGCACCTTCAGAGGCTGTGGCCGTAGACAGAGGGGGAGGTCAGGCCTGGAGTGAGGGGACTTGCCTGAAGGTTGGATTCGACTCTCAAGGCAGAATGGGGGTCTCCAGAGTCCTTGAGGTGGGAGGTGTGGTGCGGCCTGCTGCAGCCCCGACAGAATTATTAGAGGGAGCAGACAGTGAGTTCCGGGGGCCGGCTCACGTGTGTGGGAGAGAAGACAGGGAGCAATCTGGCTGTGAGGCGGAGAGCCCACATCGGGCAGGCGGGTGTGCGCTCCTGCAGAGAGCGCCGTGCGTTGTTTGTGGTGGCTTTTGGGGGGAGTTGATGGAAAACACAAGGGACCAGCCCCACCCCCTGCAAAGCCACCCTTGAGGCCGCCTAATGGTGACAACTACCACATCTTTCCCCACCAGCCAGGGGCCTAGCAGCAGGCACGTCACTCTGTCCACTCTGTGACCGAGGGGCTTCAGCTCAGAGGTGCTGAGCCCCTGCCCGAGGTCACACAGTAGTGGGTGGCCACCCCGAGCCTTCCTGCCTCTCCTGCCGGGGCTCACCTGCCTCCTGCTCTCCTGCCGGGGCCCTCAGGCCTCCACTCAGGGTGCTAATTCCCAGACCTCACCCCCTGAGACGCTCTCCAAAAGGCTAAGAGAAGCCCAGGAAGTGTGTGTCTAAGCCTTCCTCCCAGCGGCCCCACTTTGGGGAGTGTCAGCACGTAACTGACACTCAGCATGATCCCCCGTTGGGTCATCACATGGATTCACACTGGTCTTGCCACGCAGGCCGTGGACTGGTCCGTGGTGTGGGCAGTCTATGGGGGAGTTGCTCCATTTTCACGGGACCTTCAGATAAAATAAGGTTCAACCATGATTGACACCCAGGATTAACTCTTCCTCTCATCCGTGCATTCAGATGTGAAGTTGGTGAAGTTCATTTCCGAGGCGCCTAGCTTTCTTTTTTTTCTTCCGATTAACCCCTGTGAAGTGCTGTGCTCACAAAATTCCCCAGCAAATTTGCATCCAGGGAAAAGATAGACTATCAACACATTAATCCTTGTGACCCTCCCTCCAACATGGGATCTCGGGAAGAGGCCTCACTGAGGGGGATTCGGGAAGGACCCCCGTGTAGTCTTGCCGTGAGGCCGGCCATGTGGCCCAGCGCTGTGGTCTCAGGGCAGCGTCTCCTTGCTCTGCAGGTGTGCTTCGCCTCCTGGCCGTAATTTTTGCCGTGGTTACCACGTGGCTTTTCATCCGCGAATATATCGACTTCAACATGAAAACCCTCCGCCTGCCCCGCTGGATGGGTGAGTGGGGCTCACTACTGGGGCAAGAACCAGGGCCAGGGGTCAAGGATCTAGTCCAGCCCTGGGTGACCCAGGAGGTGGCCAGACGTGGCACAGGGCTGCCCTTGGGACCCCACACATTCAGGGTCGGGGGAGAGGAAACCTCACCCCCAATCCAACGTCAGGAAGGCTGAGAACCCATGGAGAACAGAGACATGTTCTAATGCCCGGCCAGAACATGCGCCTGCATCAAGGACCGTTTTGGAAATGTGACCCAAGAAGGAAGGACAGAGGGAGGAAGAGAAAGAGGGAGGGACAGAGTGGGGGGAGAAAGCTGCCTGTGCCCTGAGCACCTTCCGTCCGCACTTGCTGTTCCTCTTTGCTCAGACCACCCTATGGTGGCTCCTCTCAGCCTCGGGCCTCTGCTCCAAATGTTTCCTCCTCAAAGAAACCTTCCTGACTGCTCCTGCTCCTGCTCCTCCTCCTGTAGAGTCTTTCACGTCAGCCTGTCCCCTTCAGACCATCATTATTATCCATCATTGTGCTGTTTCTTTGTTTACTTCATCATTACCTATCTCCAGCTCATGCAATGTGAGCTTCCTGAAGGCCAGAGTTTTGTCTTGGGTGTATCTATCTCTCTAACACCTCACTCAGACCAGATGCTCAGTGAACATTTGATAAGTGAAAGAAATATGGATGGATGGATGGATGGATGGATGAATGATGGATGGGTGATGGTTGCTCGCAGCTTTACATGCCTGGGCTCACTGGACCTGCATGAATGCCCCATGGAATGATTCACAGTGTATTTGTGGAGTGGACTCAAGTATGACCTCATGTTGTCATTTTACGTGTGGTCTGAGAAAAAGAGAAGCTCTGAGAGATTAAGAAACTTCCCAAAATGTCCTTTGTAGATATCAGAACAGGACTGGGAACCCAGGTCTCCCAGATTTAAATCCTTTCAAAAGAAGGAGAGAAAGGGAGAGAAATTTATACCTCCGGATTTGGCCTCCTTAAAGACCAAGAACCACCTGCATTGAGTAGTCAAATATAATAACCTCTAGTGGCCCTGGCCAGCTCACGCCTTCACAGCAGTGAGGGAACAGGCACCCTGCCTTTACCACCAGCTTCCCACAGCGGACTCTCAGAGGGTCCTTACCCCTTCTGCTTCTTGTCCAGCACGCCCCACACCAGCTCAGGACGGTTTATATAGACGTGGTGACCACCAGGTCCGTGGGCCCTGGGCACCACTTTCACAGACCAGAGACTGACTTGGCCATGCTTCTGGCCTTGGAGTAGATGCACCCAGATCAGTGCAGGCAGCTCAGAGCAGGAGTGAGTTGTGGAGAAGACAGCCCCAGCTTGGGGTAGGAGGGGAGTATTTGAAGGGAGCCCCCAGGGTAGTCTCCCTCTCAGAACTCAGCCACCCGGGGTGTGACAAATCAACACCCCCCCCCAAGGCTCAACACTCAACTGCTCTGTGGTAGGTCCCCAAGACCTTGGAATGAGGAGCACCCCAGAATGTGGCTCCAGCTCAGGGTTTGAATGGGGGATACAAACACAATTTATTATAGAATATAGAAAAATGGAAGTATATTAACATGACTTGAGTCTTGCAAAACATGTACAGTGGTTTAATGCATTAATATGGAAGCACATATCTTACTGTAGCACCACATTTCCTACTGTTTTTGTTATTATCTTGGTATATAGATAATATCTTGGAAGATATATATATCTTCCTTTTTAATCCAATCTATTTTATTTTACACATTTAATAACTTGCCGCCTAGTAGAGTAAGAAGCACTGAGTGTCTCAAAAAAAAGTGGGAATAAATTTATTTGTAGGGGAGTTCATAGGCTCTTCCAGATCACCAAAGGGGTCTGTGGGACAGAAATTGGGTGATTAAAGATTTCCTGATTTGGCTGATAAATTGGGCAAGTTTCTTTCAGATGAGAGTGATGAACCCCACTGTAAGTGATTTAAACAAAGGGGGATGTCATTTCGTGGGGCATCGGGAAGCCCAAGGTGTCGGATTTCAGATGTGGCTGGATCTAGGGGCTCCCACAGAGGCCCCGGAGTCAATCTCTGTGCCCTGGGCTCTGCTCATTGCTGTTGAACCTCATTCCATGGGCAGCTTTCTCTCCCAACAGGTGTGCTGGCCACCAGCTCCCCAGTTGCTCACCCTTCAGCTATCTCCCCTAGAGCCACAGATAAACCTGAGAAGGGCTCGGCATCCAGGGGGATACGATGTTGTGGCTGGCCCAGCCAGGGCACGGGATACTCCNTCGGAGGCGGGGCGGGGGGGTGGGGGGGCAGCCTCCTGAGGACCGAATGGAAAATGTGTCAGTGAGGGTGTCCCCCAGGGAAGGAGAGCTCCTCCTGCTGCACTGACACTTCTCTGTCCACTGGGAGCCCTGTCCTCTAGGGCTCAGCGCCAGGCCGGCAGGAGAGCTGACGTAGAAGCGCAGGAATAACCACACAGTGTAGTGAGATGAGCAGCCCAGGGCAGGCAGGCGGGCCTTCCCCACAGCCAGTGAGGGTGGGTGCAGCGCCCCCACTGTGCGGGTGCAGAGGATCAGCCCCAGAGGGAAAACTCCCACACCATCAGGCGCCAAGTCCAGTGGGCCTCACCACAGAGGCTTCCTTCTTTTTAACCGTGACAGAGTCGTGTGTGTGTGTGTGTGTGAAGAGGCGGCAGCAGCAAGTGCAGGAGGGCTCCCACATAAAATAGGACTTTCAGCTCATTTCACCCCCTTGCCACAGGAGGGGCACTGTGCTTGGCCAGGCCAGCACCACTCTGATATCCCTTCTTCCCCCCACCCCCGCCCAGGACCCACCTCCATTATTCGGGCAAGCTCAAAATACTTTCTCACCAGATTCTGTCTTCTCTCTAACAGGTTCAGCCCACAAGAACTGTGAGTGTCAACTCCACCCTGTTGCCCTTTTAGTGAGGTGTTCCAGGGTGTCTACTCCTAGCCCTGAAGCTTTGAGAGAAGCCTGGGTTCCCAGAGCCCACCCAACTCTCACTCCTTGGCCTGATGGTGCCTTCTGAAGCCCCCAAGCCCTGTGGCCCCTTCTCAGCCATTCAGACTCCTAGGGAAGCTTCAACTCTCTCCCTTTCCTGGTGCCCCCAGCCTGCAGTATGGACTGCAGCCACCCTGCCTCCCCTCTCTCATCCCCTGCCTGGCTGGGAGCTCCAAGGATGCGGGCTGTGCTTATTATCCTCATTGCAGTGACCCCAGAATTGGCTTATGGCTCCCGCTTCAGAGTACCAGGGCCCTGCTGGGCACCACAAAGGCCCCAGAGGCAATCAGAAGGGGTTGCTGATTTTCTTTTTTGGGTAGAAGAACCGTGTGTGCCGAGAGAGGTGGGGCAAGTGCCCAGGGCTCCAGGAGGGCCGCCCACTTCCCAGGGGATGGGGTCTGGGAAGGCCTCAAGGAGGAGGTGGCTTTTTAGCTGTTCCTTGCACAGGAGGTACCATGCTGTAAAAAGGCCTAGGGGCAGGAGTGCTGGGACTCCAGTAGAGAACTTGCTTGCAGAGTCAGGTACGTGAGTGTGGGAATGGAGAGAACAGTGGGAGGGCAGGATGCTGGGTGTCGGAGCAGCATTTCACAATGACCCAGCTCCAGAGGTGCAGAGAAGATAGGAGGAGGGGACAGTTATGGTGATGATAATTGTGACAGTGACTGAGTGCGTGCCAGCACTGTATTCCGAACTTTATGGGCATCTTCTGCAATCCTCACCACAACCATAGGTGCTGTACATATCCCCATTTTACAGATGAGGAAACTGAGGCTCAGAGAGGTGAAACCTCCTGGCCAAGGCAACATGGCTCTAAGTGGCAGAGTGGGAGTCAACCTCCCCTTGTAGTCCAGAGCCCACCCTCTCAACACACCTTAGCAAGAGACAGCACCTCCAGGTCCCCCTCTCCATTCCTGATCTAAACCAATCCCCTCCTTTTATAGTTGGCAAAGCGAAAGGGAGAGATTTATGGCAAGTCACACAGCAGATTCCTGAAATTGGCCCAGGTTCCCCCTGACCGGACCCCTCCAGCGGTCAGCTGCCTGTCCTGAACAATAGCACTGGGCTTCCCAGAGGGGTGGGACAGCTAAGAAAGCCCCCAGAACCCAAACCCACACAGCAAATCACCTGCCTCCCAGTGGCTAAGACTCCTGGGCCTCCTCTCCCACATCCAGTAGCTTGACCGTGAAGCCTGGATGGTCAGAAAATCAATTTGAGAAAAGCCTGCTAAGCTGGCCTGTTGACATCGGGTTTGTCAGACTCAGCGCAGGTGATCAGGCTCCAGGCCAACTCCAGGGTGGTCCCCAAGGCCTGAAACAGCTGTCCAGCAAGATGAGACCCTCTGGACTCTAAAGTAAACTGGGCTCCCTGTAGGGGGGGTGCAGGTGGCTGGAGGTGGGGCCCCAAGGCTCATAGGAGAAGAGGACCCCTCCCAGCCTCACCCTCCACCAGCGCTTTTGTGGGGGTTTCTGTCCAGAGGGCTGGGCCAGGACATCCAGGTCACATCCCAGGCCCTCTCTGGACACCTCCTCAGGGGCATCTCCACTCCCAGTCCCCACTCTCTGGTGATGATGTCCTGGTTGGAGCTCTGGTTACACCCATCAGGCGGATGTGTGGGAACTCAGAGTGGAGGGGTGAGAGCCTAGGATGGGCATTCCACTCAGATCATCAGGGCCACCCACGCCGCCAGGGGAGCCCTGGTGCAGGTGGCATTCACTCCTAGGAAAGGGCGCCTTCACCTACTCAGAGGCACCAGGGGCTTGCTGAGCTTGGCATAGAGGCATTTGTTCCTGATTCCCATGAAGCCCCCCTCTAGGCTGGCAAGGGCATGGAGACCCTACTCACCCTCCCAGCTCGGACTCAGACCCACCCAGATGCTCTAGGTGTTCATTCAGTGAGGATTTATTGGCACATGCCTACTGTGTGCCGGCCTTGGGAGTTATGGGGAGGATTTAACAAGACAGTAAAGAAAAAGTGCTTGCCACAGTGCCTAGCACACAGCAAGGGCCTGGCATGTGCCGCATCTATTAGGAAGCCTGTGGGTCTGCCCCAAGCGCGTCTGGCATGGCTCAGCTGGATGCCTGGCACAGGGGCTGGAAGAAAGCGAGGCCGCCCGGTTGCAGCTCTCCCTCTGCAGGTGAAAGCGCCCTAACTCCCCGTTTACTCAGGCCTCCTAAGGGCAACTTCCAAACTCTTAGGTGGTGTTAAAAAAAAACAACATGCATTAATACAAGTTGGAAACTGCCAGGCTGAGAGCACCCGTGACACTTCAGCAGCTGTTCTGAGGACCCTTCTGCCGCTCCTGCCTTTCACAGGGTCTGCCTGGGAAGNCCCCCACCCCCAGCTCCCCTCCTCCTCCCGGGCCTCCTGCCACCACCAAAGCTGCTGTGTTCCCTCCCCAGCTTCACAGTTGGTGAAGACCAAGTGTGGCCTCAGCAAATCCTGCCAAGACAACTTCTTTGCGTTTAAAATTGTCAGTGGGGCCGCCAACGTCGTGGGCCCCACCATGTGCTTTGAGGACCAAATGTAAGTTTCTGGCATTTCATTACTTTCATGCCTTCATTCATCAGCAAGTTCAGAGGCCTCAGGGTGGCCCTGAGACCAGCCCACACCTTCCACACACTTCCTTTTACTCTGGGTGGGTTAGTCAGACATAATAATCCTGATGGCTTGCAAATCTGCCAGCACCTTCCTAGATGCCTTGCAGCAGCATCTCCCTTGCAGCCCAGCACTCCTAGAGGTGGGCGATAATTCTCCCCTTTGTAAAGATGAGGAAACTAAGACTCAGACAGAGTTACTCAGCTAACCATTGGTGGAGCCAGATGTGAACGCCAGTCTGTCT